ACAGGGTTTAGGGTTTAGGGTTTCTGCTCGGCGTCTCTTCCTAACCCTTACAGTAGAAGCCCGAAGTTGGCACACCGATAGCCTCAATCCTTAAGAGTATCCCTAAGGGTCCAAAGGACCCAATAATCGGGTACTTTGGTTGCGGATAGTAGTGGTTTAGGGTTTAGGGTTTAGGGTTTAGGGTATTTAGGTTAATATTTGGCAGAGTGTATGATTATTAGGTACTTGGACCCTTAGGCTTACTTCATGCCTCGGTTGAAGCACTTGGAGCCGGCTGATGGTGCTCTGTGCTTGACATGTGTAATGTAGGGGCCTTTTGGGCTCCTTTATAGAAAAGTTAGAATAAGGAACCCCAACAATAATAAGGAAAGTTAGAATAAGGTTTTTGGGATCCTTTATAGTATAGTTATAATAAGGAACCCCCAAAGAATGATGTTGGTAATGATTTGGCCTCCATAGTATCGATTTCGCCCAGCTCTGGATCTTCTTCCTGCACCCTGAAGCATCCGTCTCTGCCTGTACGCGGTTTAGGGTTTAGGGTTTAGGGTTTAGGGTTTAGGGTTTAGGGTTTAGGGTATAGGGTATGGATATCGTGGTGGATCTATCCCTTCTTGCTTAGATGGGACTTATCAAGTAGGGTTGTAAGGAAGGTTATAAATAGGATAACCCCTACTTAAGGCACTTATGACCTATAACCCCGACTATAACCCCACCTAACTGGATGCTGTGCGTCAGCTTTCTCTTTGACTCTTCTTGCTTCTTTCTGTCCTAAGCCCCCTCAACCTCAAAGACTACACAGGCCAGCATATGTAGGCCTTTACTCTAGCTCCGACGGAGAAGCGTTTGTTTCCGCGCCTGGTCTTCGTTGACGAGCACTGCCAAGCTTCTAAACCCTAAACCCTTAACACTAAACCCTAAACCCTAAACACTTAACCCTAAACCCTAAACCCTAAACGCTAAATCCTAAACCCTAAACCCTTCAATGCTTCCATATCGCAGTCAGATCTTCGCCACCCTGACGAGCTGGGCGTCAGCTCGCCCGAGCCGTCGCAGGACGGGTCTCAGGACCGCGTGAAATTGGGCAATGCTGGGTTTAGGGTTTAGGGGTTTAGGGTTTAAGGTTTAGGGTTTAGGGCTCGCAGTGGAGGTGTCATATGGTCTTCAAGGAAAGCGAGTGCCGCACGTTCTGGAACTGGATTGTCGGGCGCCGCTGCCCTTTCGACCGCCTGAAGATGTGCAGCCCTACTGCGTCTGCCTGGCCGCTTGTCGCTTTTACGACACCTGGGGCATCGACGAGGAAGAGCTCTCCGTCATCATCAGATGCGGAGGCTGCAGAGGCTGAGCCGCTGGGTGAGGGACCACGGGCCCTCGGCCCTTCGGGGCTGGGAAATTCGGAAGCGAATACTGTTTAGGGTTTAGGGTTTAGGGTTTAGGGTTTAGGGTTTAGGGTTTAGGGTTTAGGGTTTAGGGCTTCGCACTGCGCCCGAAAACGAGCGGGGTCCCACACCCTCAACCCAAAACCCACACCCCAAATCCCAAGCACAAGACTCTGAAGCCGAAATGCTCATTCAACCCTACACCTAAACATCCCTAAACCTTATAATACCATAAACTGAAGAGTTCTGGATCCCTTGTAGAACCCTCAAAGGAACCCTGAAGCCTAAACCATAAACCCTAAACCCTAAACCCTAAACCATGAACCCTAAAGACTCAGACCGTTCCTCCTCGTGGCTTCGCCAAAGCAGCGCAGCGCGAGAGCGACGTGGCCGACCGGCTCAGCAAGGAGCCGCACAGGCCACTGGCTTTAATGGAGGGGCCTAAATAGTTACCAAACCAATTTGGGGGTTCCTGATTCTGATTAGAGTATAAAGGGCCCCAAAACGTTCCAAATAGTAAGGCCTCTATAGTAGGGTTTGCAGATTCGCAAAGTAGAGGTTTGCGTTATGCGGATTGGAAGGTCGGGGGCTTAGGGTCTAGGGTTTAGAAGGTCCAGAACATTTAGGGCTTAGGGTTTAGGGTTTAGGATTTGTGAGTTAGCCGTCTGTCCGATTTCTGGCAGGTTTCGTAAAGGTTTTATAGCTGTGCGCCTTTAGGGGTTAAGTTAGGGTTCAGGTTTGGGACTGAGGGTTTGGGAAAACTGTTTCAGATTTCGCGGCTAGGGTGTTGGGTTCAGGGTTCGGGATTTGGGACTTCCGGTTCAGGGATTCCTTGATAATTCGATTTTTTAGGGTTACTGTAACAATCGTACTCACAGTTCATCATAGTTCATCGTAAACATCTTGCGACTTAGTGTCTACCTTCGGGTCCCTCTTTTTCTACAACTCCGAAAGTAGCATTGTGCATGTTGGTTCTTTTGCGTTCTTATTTATGTTGTGATGCATTCTGATCGCCACTCGCCTCCGTAATCACATTGATGATGGTGAGGGTGATGACGAGGATGATGGTGAAGATGGTGGTGATGGTGGTGGTGGTGGCGGTCGTGGTGGTGGTGGTGGTGGTGGTGATGGTGGTGGTGACGAAGATGGCGATGGTGACTTGAATGAGCATCAGGTGTTGTCGTTCGCAATAATGTACCGCTGGAAATGGCACGTTCATGCCAACATCCC